GAAGCAGCGGAGAAGTCCACGAAGGAGGTCCGCCAGCGGGTGGCAGAGCCCAGTATACACGCTCAACGAGACAGCGAGGGCGAAGACGCGGATGATGACGTCAACGCGGTTCGAGGCAAGCGGACCCCAGCGAAGACTACCAACGTCAAGCCTTGCTCCGGTTGTGGCGGGAAACACCAGCGCGACTCCTGTTGGGCTCGTGATGTCGACTGCAGAGCGTGTGGGCGGCGTGGTCATCTGGCCAGAGTCTGCAGATCAGCAAAGAAGGATCCCTCAACTAACAACCGGTCAGCGCAGAGGGGCACTCCAGTCAGCACCCAAGGCAAGACCCGTTCCTCAGCATCGGAAGCAAGCTGCCAGTTGACGGCGACCTTGTCGAGCGCATCGGCCGTAAATCGCACCAGCAGCCAGGGCAAGATCACCGTGACTCCACTCCTCGACGGCCGACCCTGTACAATGGAGGTGGACTCAGGATCGTCCGTGACGGTGATTTCTGCCGCGTCCTGGCGCCAGTTGTTCCCGAACCGAAGCCGGCGGCGGCTCCAGCCTGCGGGAACCAGAGTGTCCGACTTCCAGGGCAACCGAATTCCCTTGGCCGGACGGGACTCTGTTACTGTTGAGTATAAGGGGAAATGTGTTAAACTGTCATTCCTGATTGCAGAGGGAGACCGGGTTAACCTGCTAGGGTTAGATTGGTTTGAGCCATTGGGCATTGGTATTTCTGGGATTAACAGGATGTCTGAAAATAAATGGGGCATGCTGTACGACCTGTTCCCTGATGTATTTGCCGAAGGGTTGGGGAGGTACAAGGGCCCCCCGGTTGCGTTTGACTTAGATCCGTCAGTCAAACCTATTAGGTTGAAGTATCGGAAAGTACCTGTGTCTCTCAAACATAAGGTGGAAAAAGAGATTGACAAACTAGTTGAGCAAGGGGTTTTAGAGCCAGTACCATACAGCAAATGGGAGACCCCGATCGTAACCCCTGTCAAATCAGATGGGTCCATACGACTATGCGCCGATTACAAATGTACGATTAACAAGGCGCTGCAGCAACATTCGTACCCGGTCCCGGTAATAAGCCACATTTTGGCTTCCCTGGGGGGTGGCAAGATTTTCGCCAAATTTGACCTGGCCCAGGCATACCAGCAGTTGCCTGTCACCCCGGAGGCTGCCGAGGCCCAAACAATTGTAACCCACCAAGGGGCTTTTAAAGTGAACAGGCTGCAATTCGGGGTCAACGTAGCACCTGGGATTTTTCAGGGCCTCATGGAACGTCTACTAAGGGGGGTACCTGGCACAGTGCCCTATTTTGACGACGTGCTGATTGCGGGCGGGTCTGAACAGGAACTACTGGACCGGGTTAAAGAGGTCCTCAGGCGTTTTCAAAATGCCGGTCTCAGAGTTAAGCGCTCAAAATGCACGCTCGGGGTGGAAAGTGTGGACTTCCTGGGGTTTCGCATTGACGCAGAGGGAGTCCACCCCACGGATGAGAAGGTATCTGCAATCCAAAACGCCCCCAGGCCGGTGAGTAAGAAGGAGCTCCAATCCTTTTTAGGACTCCTGAATTTTTATCATGCGTTTTTACCGCATAAGGCATCAGTGGCGGCCCCTTTGCACGCGCTTTTGCACAAGGAGGCAAAATGGAAGTGGGGGCAGGCCGAGGAAAAGGCTTTTGTGGGAGTCAAGGAGCTGCTGACATCTAATGCCGTACTCACGCATTATGATGAACACAAGCTCCTGGTGTTAGCTGCTGACGCTTCACCTTTTGGAGTAGGCGCAGTTTTAAGCCATCTGATGCCTGATGGGAGCGAAGCGCCTATCGCTTTTTATTCTAGATCACTATCTGCGGCAGAGCGGAACTATGCCCAGATAGACAAGGAGGGTCTGGCGTTGGTAGCGGCTGTCAAAAAGTTCCATGATTTTATTTTTGGCAGACGATTTTTGCTGGTCACTGACCACAAGCCGCTACTGGGGATTTTTGCGCCCGATAAGCAATTGCCAAACATCATGTCCCCACGCATGCTTAGATGGGCGATATTTTTGCAGGCTTATGATTTTGACTTAGAGCACCGGCCTGGGAAAGCGATTGGGCATGCGGATGCCCTCAGCCGGTGCCCGGTGCCGGACATTGGCGCAGACCCTGCCCCCGCCTGTGAGGTCTTGGCAATTGAGGAGCTTCCTCGACCCCCGGTATCATCCAGGGACATTGCAGCACACACGGCCAAGGATAGCGTGCTGTCCCGAGTATTAAACTGGGTTTGGAGGGGGTGGCCGGTTGGAAGCGTTGAACCGGAGTTCGGCCCTTACAAAAGCCGTCAAAATGAACTATCCATTTCTAAGGGCTGTGTATTATGGGGGAACAGGGTGGTGGTTCCTGACAAACTCAGGACGAGAGTGTTAGAGTCGCTGCACGAGGGTCACCCCGGTATGGTACACACCAAAGCGTTGGCCAGAGGGTATGTCTGGTGGCCGGGGCTGGACAAAGAGATCGAAGAATGGGTACGAGGGTGTCCCAAATGCCAGCAAGTCAGACCCGATCCCCCACAAGCTACACCCCAAGGCTGGGAGTCATCTGGTAAACCCTGGGCCAGATTGCATATAGATTTTGCTGGCCCTCTCCAAGGGCAAATGTTCCTAATTGTGGTGGACGCTATGTCCAAATGGCTGGAGGTCGTGCATATGAAATCGACCACATCACTTGCTGTGATCCATGCGCTCCGCCGACTTTTTGCCACCCACGGGTTGCCTGACGTCATCGTCAGTGACAACGGGCCTCAATTTGTGTCTGAGGAATTTAGGCTCTTCCTCACGAGTAATGGCATACGCCAAATGACTTCGGCCCCTTTCCATCCGGCATCTAATGGCCAAGCCGAACGGATGGTCAGGACGGCCAAAGAGGCCCTGGGTAAAATGGACGAAGGGGACTGGAGCCAGAGGCTGGGCTCCTTTCTTTTGCTGCAGCACACCACCCCCTGTAGTGCTACAGGCCGTAGTCCGGCCGAATTGTTAATGGGGCGGAGACTCACGACCCGTTTGAACCGAATGCACCCAGACCTCACTGAAGAGCAATCCGAGCGTACCACGGCGCAACCGAAGGTGCGCATGTTTGAAAAAGGGGACAAGGTTTTCGCACGAAATTATGCAAACGGGCACTTATGGCTTCCTGGGGTTATATCCGACTCTGTGGGTACTCGAATGTATGTGGTGCAGTTAGCTGACGGTCGAATATGGCGGCGCCACATAGATCAGTTAAGGAGACGTTGGGCTAGGGACAGCGCTGACTCTCCGACGGCTGAATCCCCTGATGTCGAGTGGACACCCCCAGAGCAGGCGGTGAGTACCGAAAGGCCCGGTACTGTCCCCGAGTCAGGGCAGAACCCTGTGTGCGGGGCTGAAATCCCAGTCGAGTCTGTGCCTGATCCAGGCTGTAGTGAACCCCACTCTGACCCACAACCTTGTCTGCCCGTGGTGCCTGCACCGCTCCGCAGGTCCCAGCGTTCGCGGCAAATGCCGACTTATCTGAAGGACTATGAGTGTAAATACTGTTGGAATACCTGATGTACAAAGGTTGATTGCATGTATGTAAATAATAAAACAATTGGGATGATGGCTTAACTTAGGGGGGAGGAATTGTAATGTATTGAAATGATTTCATGAATCACCTCATAGGACTCCCATGTTAAGCTTCGAGCCAGACCAGGGCTCCTCTGAGCGAACTTCCTATTGGTCGCTTCGTAACAGCGACCAATCAGAACGATACCATTCCCTAGGAGGGAAAGACTCCCATTGGTCTTTATTCTAGCAATCTCATTGGTTGTTATTTGTAAATAGGCGTGGCTACATTAGCCCGGTTATGTTTAAAAGGAGCATAAGCTCCCACTGTTTTCTGTTCTGGTTTCTTACTGAGTTGAGTGCTTGTTCGTTACTTCTAAATAAAGCTGAATCACTTGCTGAATCACTCTACGGGTCCTTTGTTAGCGCGATCTAACAACCCCCCCTCCCCGTGCCTTCCCAGGCCTGTCCAAGGGCCAGCTTGCCCAGGCAAGCCAATGGAAGGCATGGGGTGTGGCCTAATAGGTTACTGAGCTGTGGTGTTGGGGTGTGGCCTAATACGCTAATGAGTTTCTGCTGTTGGGTGTGTGTGGCCTATTATGCTAATGAGTTCCTGCTGGGCTTTTTCTACAAAAAAAAGCCCTGCTTCTTAAGGACATAAGTCAGGAGAACAAAGTCTGAGTCCCGTGGGAGCACCTTTGAGACCAACCAAGTTTAATTCAAAGTATAAGCTTTTGTTTGCAGGCACCCTTCTTCAGATCGAGTCTCTGATGCAGCATCTTCAGTACTCTATCTGAAGGGGAGAGTGCCTTACACGTGAAAGTTCGTACCACGAATAAAACTTCGTTGGCCTGAAAGGTGCCCCATATTTTGTTCTGCTGCTTCAGACCAACATGGCGACCCACCTGGATCTATACGTCAGGATGTCTGTGTGGATGTCTCCACGGAGTTGTTGGCCTCCAGGCGGGGGCTGGAGTTCTCCAGGAATGACAACCGGTCTCCAGACTGGAGGGCAACGCGGCACCTCCGGAGGGTGGATCCTCGATGGCGTCACGTCCCTGCTGAGGTCCCTCCCCGACCTCTGCCCTCCCCAGGCTCCGCCCACAAATCTCCAGGAATTTTCCACGCTGGAGTTGGCTCTGACAGGTCACCTTCACCTCGCATTTGCTTCCAGTGGGCAAGTGAGTATGCATGGCCGCAAAGGCAAAGCCAATGAATCGCTCACTCTAAGCTTTCTTTGATGCTATTGAATTTAAGTTACTTTAAAACACACCACGTATTTCCGTAATAGCCAAGTATTATTTGTTTGCAGAACTGTTTGCAATAACCGCCCAAATCCTGTGCTTTAAAACAATAAAACAGTTGGTGAAAATTAAAAGGCAAAAACCATGAGTGATTTTAAGCAGGTCACTATGACTTAGATCTAGGTTTCCATTCTTCTTTCTTACCCAAGACTCAGGATTTCTTCTTCACTGACCATATCAGAAAGAAGAAAATGGTGCCTTGCGATCAGGAACCGGTTTATTACAGACTCCCTCACCTGAAAAAAGGAAAACAGTCCCTCTGAATCTAAAATCGCTGCATCCACTTGCAAGCCACTGTATCAGGCAGCTGCCCTGGATCTACATTTAGTTTTCCAGGCCCCAAAAACTGTTTTTATAATGGGAAGTGAACACCTTGTTTTTCAAGCGCCTCAAGAACTGCACTACAGAGATTTGTTTTACAGAATTCTACTTTGCCCTTTTTGTCCTCAGCAATAGGTTATGCAAAGCCCCAGAGTTCTTCGAGGTTAATATCCCCCATAATTAATCCAGTAATTTCAGGTACAGATACAGTAGCTAATTCTCCCCCTTGGATAGGGCTGCCAAGTGGGGGCGGGTGGCGGGTAACCCCCCACTTTGGAGGCCCGATTTCCGCTGCTGTGGAATCGGGCCCTGGGGGGAACTCCGCCCCCCAAAGCGCAGCGTGACTGCATCACCAGAGATGACGCAACCACGTCAATCACGTTGGGGGCGTGGCCCTCTGACAATCGGGGCCACGCCCCCAACGTGATCGACATCGCACGTCACTTCCGGGATGTTCTGGTGGCACGCGCGCGCGAGCGCATCAGAGGAAAGCTCCCGGAGTCCAGCGACGATCCCCCGCCGGTAAGAAGATTCGACTTGGCAACCCAACCCTTGGAGGAGAACCAGTTCCACATATCCACTCAAGTTACCCAGGAAATTTCATCCTCTGAGCACATCAGAGAACTTTATCCAGACCCTCTTTCACCAGGAGCACTAACATCTATTGTTTCTGCCCCTAGCCAAATGGCCATGAAGACTGATTTTTTTAGACTGAATGAGATAAGAACCACTTCCGAGCTGAAAACTAGCAGGGTGTGAAAGGGTTAAGCAGACCCTCAAACTGACTCCCATCGCAACCTCCAGGGCTGCTTTTCAGTTTAAAAAAACAAACAAACAGAATCAAGGCTGATGCTTTGCCCATCTTTTGCCATGGTCTGGGGTTTGGCCCTTTGCACTATCAAAATACAGGGCTGGCCGTCACAAGACAGATACTTTGATGTCTTTCTCACCTTCTGGAGGTACTTGGCAACTACGGCTCTGTGTGCGTCCAGGTGGTCCTTGGTGTCAATGACATCCCTCTCCTGTAGCCTTTTCTCAAAGTCCTAAATGGGAAAATGCCCAAATATATATGTGCAGTTCAAATGCCGTCTCTCACATCTGGTGCCTTCAGGCAGAGCAACAATTTAGACAAGGTACAGATGCTTTTTGTCCCATTCCCCCCCCCCAATTGTTTATCATAACCTGACAGTCCTTTTCGAGCTTTTCGAGCAGGGGCTTTTTAAATCGCAGTGAAGTTGTCTCATAACCGAATATCCAAACAAAAAGAAAACAAGCATTACACTGAATGATATAATGGCAAAATTTAAGTTATTTCTTACCTGAAAGATTCTTTCACTAATTTCTCTTTCCAGTAATGGGACATGTTTATAATTTCGAAACTCAGCCACCTCTCCATTTCTGAGCTGAAGAAGTCGAAATCTCTTGGACCGGTTAAATTCATCGTCAGAAGCAAAATTAAATTCCTGCTGTAATTGTTCCAGCCTGAAGAAATCAGGAACAGAAGCATCTCCACTGGTGGTAACCTGAAGGATACATGCAAGTTTACAGGAAACTGTGGTGGAGTGATTTGATTTTAATGGTTCTCAGTGTCCTAGTCCTAAGGACATCAGAAGAGCCCTTCTGGATCAGGCGAGTGGTCCATCTAGGCCAGCATCCAGTCCCACATAGTGGCCAACCAGTTCCTCTGGAGAACTGACAACAACAGGGCATAGAGGCCGAGGCCTTCCCCTGCTTTACTGCCTATGAATATGGAGGTTTCCTTCAGTCACCATGGCTAATAACCTCTAGGGATCGGCAACGTGTACACCCTCATTTTCCAGCCCAGAGGGGCAAGGGGGATGTTGTAAAGGATTAGGTAAAGGTTTCCCTTGCTCGAAAGCCAGTCGAATCCGACTCTAGGCATGCGGTGCTCATCTCCATTTCCAAGCCGAAGAGCCAGCACTGTCCGAAGACACTTCCGTGGTCATGTGGTTGGCAAGACTAGACACTGAGGCGCACGGAATGCTGTTACCTCCCCACTGCAGCAGCGGTTCCTATTTATCTACGGCTTGCCCGAGGTCATCCAGCAGCTGCAAGTGGGGAGGAGTGGGGAATCAGACCCGGTTCTCCCAGATTAGAGTCCGCGCTCCTAACCACAACACCAAACTGGCTCCCATGGGGTTATTCCCACTGGCTCTTTAGAAACCAACAGGGTGCCTTTTGCTGCACCCCAAAAAGGTATGGGATCCAACCACCACAGGTGTGATGAATTCCTGGAATTGATCACTCGCCCTTCAGAGCTCTGGGCCTCCCAAAAAAGCGGCTCCTGTGCCACATACCTGAGGGGGGAAATTGGCAGAAATTATTCTGCCTTGTCTTGTCTTGCATGAGGTCTTCGGCGAGCTGAGAAAAAGCTCAAGCAATCGTGTGTGGGGGTTTTTCCTTTGGCAGCCCCCACCATAGCGTCCCTCACTGTGCCAAAGGGCCCTCGGACTGTCTGGAGCAGCTGAGGGGAGGGGAGGGGGAAAGGGAAGAGAGTCTGCCGAGGTGTGAACTCAGCTCACAGGTCAGTGGATCAAACCCGCTGACAATGTTTTCCTTGGCCCAGTTAAGACGTGTTCGAGCAAAATGCCTTGATGCATTAATGAGCCAATAAGCAAAATGAAAAGGTACAAACCACAACAAGAAGAGGTTGGATTTATAGCCCGCCCTTCACTACCCAAAGAAGTTTCAGAGCGGCTTACAAGCTCCTTTCCCTTCTCCTCCCCACCACAGACACCCTGTGAGGTGGGTGGGGCTGAGAGAGCTCTGACAGAAACTGCTTTTTTTCGAGAACAGCTCTGACAGAACTATGGCTTGCCCAAGGTCATCCAGCAGTTGCAAGCAAAGGAGTGGGGAATCAAACCCAGTTCTCCCAGATTAGAGTCCATGCACTTTAACCACTATACCAAACTGGCATTTAACCACTACACCAAACAAGGTAGCATCCAAGGGGCATCCATCAGATGTGCAAAGATGTGCACGTTCATCCAGTTATAGAGAAGTGCCATGGCTCTGCTCTCACTGGGCAGAAAATTCACTTCTGCTGTCCTCTTTGAAAAATTTAGAACCTAGAAATACTTGGCAGACTTAAAGCTTCGGTGTAGGGTTGCCACCTTCCAGGCAGAGCCTGGAGTTCTCCCAAAGCGACAGCCAATCTCCCTGCAGGAAACAGGAGCTTTAGTGGGTGGACTCTCTGGCACCACATCCCCATGGGGTTTCCTCCTCTCCCCAGACTCTGCCCCCAAATCTCCAGGGATGCCTCAAGCTGGACAGCTGGCGACCCGCCTTTAGTGCCAACTTTGCCAGAACCGCCTTACCATTATCAGGTGCATCAGGGCTGCATTGCTCGGGTTGTTTGGGTCCAGCTTGGTCTCTGCGGCCCACTTGGCCAGTTTCCTCATGTCTGTTAGTCCTGACGTGCCAATGGATGCAATGGCATCGATATTTTTCACAGCACTGGAAGAACGGTTACGAGTGGAAACAAAAAGCACACAATTAGAGAAACCTGGAGCTGCGGTGGCTGAGATGCTGAACTGCAGCCTGGAAGGTTTGTAATTAACAGTTTGAGCCCCAAGTGCCGCATGATGGCGTGAGCTCCCATCTCTGGTTCCAGCTCCTGCCAGCCGAGCAGTTCGAAAGCAAGAAATTGCAAGTAGATAAATAGGCACCGCTTCAGTGGGAAGGTAACAGCGTTCCGTGCGCCTTGGCATTTAGTCATGCCGGCCACATGATCACAGAAACGTCTTTGGACAGCGCTGGCTCTTCGGCTTGGAAACAGAGATGAGCACCGCAACCCTAGAGTCGGATTCAAGTGGCTTTCGAGCAAGGGAAAACTTTACCTTTACCTGGAGAAACCTGCCAATCCACATAGAGGCCCCTGTCCTGTCAGAATGCTGGATTACCTGAATTGTTGACACTGGCCCGTTGTGTCATCAGGGGAATGTCTCCCTTTTTTGCCTTTTTTTGTGTCTTCTGCTGTTTCCCTTGTGTTGATCCTAACCATGTATAACAGATTCAGGTGGGTCGCCATGTTGGTCTGAGGCAACAGAGCAAAGTTTGAGTCCAGTGGGGGCACCTTGAAAACCCACAAAGCTGGGCATAAGCTTTCATGTGCATGCCCACTTAATCAGATACACTGAAACAGTTTTCTTCAAGCCTTACATATGGGGGGGGCAGTCGCTTATGTCCAGAATTGAACTTTGTTGGTCTTGGAGATGCCACTGGACTCAGTCTTAGTTCTCACAAATGTTTATTAACTCTTGTATTTGTATGCTAACTTGCTGCCATTCACAGGTCTTTGTTGTTGTTCAGTCGCACAGTCGAGTCCGACTCTTTGCGACCCCATGGACCAGATCACACCAGGCCCTCCTGTCTTCCGTCGTGCTCCGGAGTTTGCTCAATTTCATGTCCATTGCATCGATAACACTGTCTAACCACCTCGTCCTTTGGCATCCCCTTCTTTTCCCTTCAGTCTTTCCGAGCATCAGGGTCTTCTCCAGGGAGTGCTCCCTTCTCATTGGGTGGCCAGAGTATTTGAGCTTCAGTTTCAGGATCTGGCCTTCCAGGGAACAGTCAGGGTTGAGTTCTTCTAGGATTGACTGATTTGATCTCCTTGCAGTCCGAGGGACTCTCAAGAGTCTTCTCCAGCACCACACTCACAGCACTCACAGGTCTTACCAACTGCTTTGATTCAATCTCAGCTATAACCACCCATTTACTTCTGCATCTTGACTCTAACTAGCCCTTCCTGGCGACTAACTCCCCCACCCTCTTTCTACCTATATGCAAGGCTTGAGGGAAACTGTGTGCATGCACACAGAGACTCATACCCAGAAGTAAACTCTGTTGGTGTTAAAGGTGCCACTGGACTCAACCTATGTTTAACAGAACAAAGTGCGAGTCCAGTGGCACCTTTAAGACCAACAAAGTTTTATTTAAGACGTAAGCTTTCGTGTGCAAGCACACTTCCTCGGACACATTTCAATTGCACATGAAAGTCTCTACCCAGAATTGAACTTTGTTGGTCTTAAAGGTGCCCGACTGGACTCAAACTTGGTTCTGCTGCTTCGGACCAACACAGTGACACACCTGCATCTACGTTTAACAGAATTAGTATTCAACACTTCTCATCCTCAGGGAACACTTTTCTCCTTTCATTTGTCTGCTAAGGAAGTCCTGTGAGCTGCCGTGGATTCTGGGACACACAAACACAAACAAAACCCTGAATGGAGGGTGTGTGTGTCACATAACGTAACAGGGTTTTTCGCATATGGTAAAGCAACTCAGAAAGGTTTACCAGAGCCAGAAACGTTTGTATTCCGAGGGACTGTAGGTGACTGAACGACCCGCCAACAGAAGATCCCCGATACTGTTGCAACCGGAGAGGCTAGCCTACTTGAGTGAACCTAGATTGAGTCAGGGCGTCCCCTTTGTGTCCCCCATGTGACCGGGGGGGGGGGGGGGGGGGCACTCATGTCAACATGGTATTTGGGCAACTGTATATAATGGTGTAATTTTATTATATTACGGTCCATGACCAGATCCAGTTAAAAAACAAACATTATTCAGATATTCAAATATACAAATTAAGGACTCCGAATAAAATAGAGGAATAGAAGATTTTACAATAAGTAAACAGATTTATATTATATTAAAAGGAGAAAAATAGATTGTAAAATACATAAAATAGCATAATGTTACAATTTTTAAGATTTAAACCAACAGATTTAAGAGGAACAAGGGCTGTGATCACCTAAAGGAAACTAAGGCTCAAAGGGGCAAGACTGAAAATTTACTGCACACTTTAATTGCCTGAGTGCAAAATCTAGCAGCTTAGTGATAACTGAAATTTCATCTGTTAGTAACTTATCTAAACATGTCTTCTCTTCCTCTACCACAGAACTGTCTACAAGGGAGAAAATGGTCTTATCTCGAATCTGTTTATAGAGTTCTCGAAAGAGCTCTCTCAGCCCCACCTACCTCACTGGGAGGGGAAGGAGATTGTAAGCTGCTCTGAGACTCCGAGTGAAGGGCAGGGTATAAATCCAATCTCCTCCTCCTCCTCCTCTACTCTTCAGCCATTTAATGGACCTGCGTGTTTCATTTGGCCTCAAAGAGATGTTTGATCAATGACTGGTTTTTATATTTTCAACTAGAGGTTGCTGTTGTCCTTCCAAACTGGAAGGCCGAAGGTCAGCCTGACCCCAGCCCTGCACAGGAGCCCTTTAGCCAATCAAACATGCCTTGCACTTTACACAGGAGGCATAGGAGAGGCATTTATCTATACTACTAATAGATCATTTTGTAAATGTTTTCTGTAAGCAAGGTAGACACAGAAAAGGAAGAGCCACGAGTAAACAAAGGGGTCCATTGGTCTCATTATTAGCACCACAACAGGCTAAAATGTTTCTTAAAAACTTGTTGACATTCATTACCTGGAGAACCCAGCATTTCTCTGTGATACTGGAGGAATTAAGGGCACTCCATTTTCTCCAACTGCCCAGGAAACACTGCAAGATACTTTACCAGATGTCATTAGAGTCACTTTGTTGCTACCATCAGCTTCAAATGAGAATGGTACACCTGTAGGAAGAGACCACAAGCGCTGCATAAATGAAGCCATGGTTCTGTGTAATGGAACAGAACTGCAGCAGAGACTGAGTCCCACGGATGATTCTTCTTTTTGCTGACAGAAGGGAGGGTGCTTTTTTTTTTTTTAGGTCAAAAGACTTTTTATTTTCCATTAATATCACATTTTACATCTTTTTGTCAGTTGGTTAAATATTCCCTTTTCCCTCCCTCCCCCAAAAGGCTTCCCGCAATGCACTTCCCTCATGTCCCACATAGATAAACTCAGGATAACATCAAGTACTTAATATTGTTCTAAACATAGTAAATTTTGTCTCACGTCCCAGTTCTTTTCTAAATATATCTTAAAGTCTTTCCATTCTTCGAAAAATTCTTGGTCTTCTTTGTTGTTCAATTTTGTAGTTATTTTGTCCATCTCAGCCATGAACAGAACTTTTTGTATCCATTCTCCCAGGTCTGGTATTTTTTCTTGCTTCCAATATTGAGCATATATCATTCTTGCCGTTGTTATCAAATACCAGAACAATGTCTTTTTTGTTACATTCAGTTCTTCCATTTTTAAACCTAAGAGCAGAATTTCAGGCGTTTTCTTAAAAGAACATTTTAGAATCTTTTGCATTTCACTGTGGACCTTTGTCCAAAAGTCCCTAGCTTTATCACATGTCCACCACATGTGATAAAATGAGCCTTCATGTTTTTTACATTTCCAACATTTGCTAGACATATTCTGGTTCATATTTGCTATTTTCTTAGGTGTCATATACCATCTATACATCATTTTGTAACAATTTTCTTTTACATTAGTACATACAGATAGCTTCATAGAATTTTTCCACAAATATTCCCATGTTTCTATGGTTACTTCCTTATTCATATTAACTGCCCATTTTATCATTTGCTCTTTTACAGATTCATCCTCCGTAAACCATTTCAACAGTATTTTATACATATTAGAAACCATTTTCCTCCCCCCACTTTCCCAAACAGTTTCTATTTCGTTTCTATCTTCTCTAAAACCATAGTTCTTCTTATCCATTTTAAAAACATCATAAATCTGCATATATTTCAACCATTCGTAAAAATATTGAATTTCATCCTGCCCTTTCATTATCCATTCTGTTCCTTGCTTCGTAATTAAGTCCCTATAAGGCAACCACTCCTTGCCTTGCTGTCTTGAATATGGTGTCAAAACTTCTGTTGGTACAATCCATAGTGGTCTCGCATCTCGAAAATATCTTCTGTATCTTGTCCATGTCGCAAATAAAGCACGTCTCACCACATGATGTCTGAAAAAACTATCCATTTTTGTCTTCTCATACCATAAGTATGCATGCCAACCAAACCTACAATCATGACCTTCTAATGCCAGCAGTTTTTTATTGTCCAATTTTACCCATTGTTCCATCCAAG